TGCCTTTAAAAGCACACACAACCCACAATTCCTCTATTTGCTCCGACGAAGGGCTAACGCTCGAAACGTCAGCTTTTATAATCGTAACGGTGGCCAATTTACCATCTCAACTTTGTTGATATATTCAAATTATTTCGTTACCCTCACAGACGCAGCCCCAAACAGTTTCTTTAGAAACTATCAGCCTTTATTCAAATAGACCTATACGCGGACGACACGACGTTAACCTCCGCTGCTAACATTGACTCCTTTAATGTTCTTCAAAGTTCACTGAGTGACTACAGCAATTTCTGAAGTCGTCCAATGGGCAACAGCTAATAAACTTCCTCTCAACGAGAGCAAGACAAAAGTGCTTACCATTACTGGGAAGTGACTTTCTGCCAGAATTAACCGCCTTGCTGTAGTTGTTAATGGAAAACAACTTAGAATGTTCGTCAAGTTGTGCAAAGCTTTTGGGACTAGAAATTGACCGTGAATCAACATTTATCCCTCATGTGGAGAAATTGAGTAAAAAGCTCTCGCGGCGGATAGGCATTTTAAAGAGAATCAAATATTGTCTACCTCTAAAATATCGACTTATTTTCTATAACACCATGATAGGACCGGTATTTGATTATGTAATTGTAGTTGAATGGACGAGCTGTGATAAACATTGCCTTAACCGTGTTCTAAAGTTGCAGAAGAGGGTTGCTAGAGTTTTTCTAGACGCCGATTGTCAAGCCTCCTCCGTCAAACTGTTCAATAAACTAAACTGGTTACCATTTTTCGAACAGGCTAAACTAACTAAATGCTTTATTGTATACAAGCGTGTACAGGGGCATGTACCTACCTATCTTAAAAGTTTACTTAAGCTTACTAGCGACACTCATTCACGGCAGACTAGGTATGCCAACTTCAATATTGCTCGCCGGCTTGTTATCAAACGTAAAACTGAAAGAGGAACAACATTTACTGTCACTGCCTGTCAAGCCTGGAACAGCTTACTGCTATCCATGCCGAAAATAGCGTTGTTAAATTCTTTTAAGAACTCTCTTTGGAAAAATTTTTTTGAAGAACAGCAGCTTTTAAATCAATATATTTTGTGATGTAGTTATACTTTTGTATTATTAATGAACTTTATCTCTTTTCTCTTGTATTTTATACGTTATATTATCTCATAGTTATGCCATAGTTTTTTACATCCGTATTGTACATAGTTTTAGAGGGCCATGGGTTTGTTAGTATTTTTATACTATTTTAGTGCTACCCTCTTTAAATAAAGTCTTGACTTACTTATTTACCATGAGTATTGGTCCGGCCGGGGCACGAACCCTCGACCTCCCGCACAACACAATCCGGCGCTCGAACCAATTGAGCTAACCGGGGGGCGGTCATTAAAAGCTGGACACATGATTTTTGAAGGTATTTTTAAAAACTAGAGTGTTCATTCAGTTGAGTTGAGTGATTTACATGATGATGGCGATCTTGCCTTTATCATAGTTGTTGCAAAAAAACAAAGAGCCAGTGGAGAAAACTAATACACCATCCTTTATTTTTGCACTATTCAAACATTTGTTCTTTGGAGGGACATTTTACCATCAAATGCTGCCATCAACTAGGGCATTTGTACTCAATTTTGGCCAAGGGAGGTACAAATTTGAAGTTGCAGGACCTGCAGCTACCAGTAACATTTTTAAGGGTCCATCAAAAATTTTCTATCTTCTTGTTGTGTTGTGTAGTTGCCATGTCATTTTCCTTCCAGTTTTGCATTTGCATGTTTCTTGTCTCCAACAAGATGAACCACTCAGTTTGTATTCTGACTCGACCTTTCATAACCAGGGAGATAGTATCACTACAAGGAAACCTGCATTGTGTTGATTGTCAATTGCCATTGTCCCGATTAAATGTCTAATTCTGGAATTGAGTTAAAATATTGCATTTTGACCTTTTATGTAGCTATTTTGAAATTGCTGGTGATACTTGCAGTCTAATTGGCTCTTCGGCTTTGGTGTGGTTTATTCACAAATCACACCATTTTTGCTCTTATTCACATCTTTTTCCTAGCCAATGAGATAACCTTAAACAAACAACCAATCAGATTTCAAGGCTTATTTGAAGTAAGCATTAAACTGCAGAAGACTGAAAGACAATTATTCCAACTTTTTACAAACCAGTTTAGTACTGGATCGATGAAACAACAAAACAGCGTAAACAAAATCTTATATTCGAGTGACTGAATTTTCAAATTCAAAATGGATGTGATGAAATGATAATTGAACCTTTGGTTTGAAAACATCCTTGTGGCTTCAAATCAAACTTGCACTGTGCACTGGTTCCATTTGGAAATCATACGTAAGGTTTCAGACCAAACTGGACTGCACTCTGTTCATAAACCTAGTTTTGTAATGATTTCCATTCTCAGCCTCTGTAGCCCTTTTTCCTTTGATCTCTATCTGAAAATATCAGATGGTTCTCGATCTTTTGGTGTAAATTGTCATAATTTTCATTTATGAGTTCTTTTCCTTCTTTCATTTTTTCATTCATCCATTTGATATTCAATATACCATTTATGCATTCATTTAGCAAACTAGCGTTTACCGCCCACATAGAAACACACACATGCACTTACACCTTACTTGTACTCCTGCATTTGAATTTTAGTGTTATAAGTTGCATACAAGTTGAATTTCTGAAGCAGGTGCACTGGCCAAAACATATCTGTATTATGTGGCCTCAAAACAGACGTTGTCAAGACTTAAATCATTCAGCATAATCAGAATCGGTAGCTTATAACCCTGATCAAGGTAATAAGCTTCTGGCAGAACTAGATAAAGACTTAGTATTTCAAATCAGGGTGACATTTTTTTATTATGGGAGAATGACTTGGCTTTTTGATATGCAATTCTTTCAGTGTTTTGTAAATGGTTTTCAACCTTTTTATCGCACAATAGATCTTCAACATGTCGGAGGAAGAGTTTGACTCTGCCATAGAGGATATACAAGATGACACAGGTGGTAAGTGTAAAGAGAACGTCTAGCAATGAGTTTGGAACACAAGCCATCTGTATTACTATTTATACAACACTCATTTTTCTTATCAATTAAGTGCTGATTATAGATGGCTCAGCTCATTTGAGCTCTGTAAATGTTTCTTTCTGCTAAGTTTCTGGGCTGAATTATGACCATTTAGCGCTATTCACTAAGTTATAACCTAATTAATTTGGTTAAATTGCTCAGAAGGGCTAAATCAACCACTTGACTTTAAAAAGGTTCAGTTGATAACCTCTATGGTGATTTCTGATCATAAAGAAAAACCACCCATGATTTGATCTTATTAACCGTTTTTTTCTCGATGACTTCAGAAGCAAGATTTTTTTGCCGTCCACTATATTTGGAAAGCTACAATACAAATACCTTACAGTGGGGGACTAATTTTCTGGCAGTATATCAATAGCATGAAAGGACACCAGCAAGGAAAGGGTGCTTCTAAGTGTTTTGTTTTGTATTTATTTTGTCAAATTCTGTCGGTCAGAGAGAAAAATTGACTCGCTGTGTTAAGACATCAGGGGCAGGCGGAGGCACGTTGAGACAAAAGGCAACAGCTGTAGATGTATAGTTTATTAAATTCTTCTTGTTCCTGTTTTGTTGTAGCTGTCAGAATGTGCCTGTCATCAAAAGCACAACAGGTAATTTATTGATGATTTATAATGGTAAATGAAGTAGGTGAAGTGCAATTGGATCTGAAATGTGATTTTAAAATTAGAAACGAGCATGTAGTGCGAGGTTGATTTTAAATCACAAGAGATAACAAATATTTAAAAACTGTGATGGACTCTAAATTATTTTATCCTTATCATATGCATTTTACATTGATTTGGAAATCACACGATGTATGATATCATACCAAAAATCGCACTACACTCAGTTCAATTACCATTATTATGACATCCATTTTAAAATCATTAGTGATCTTTGGCTCTCATTGGTATGAATCATCCGCCTATCGCAAACCAGCTCAGTACTGGATCAGTAAAGATCAATCAATCAATCTTTATTTTGCACTATTTACAAATAATTATTTCTACATTAAAGTACATTAAAAGGAGAGACATAGGCGGACTAAATTACACAAGTAGTGAAAAGCAAAATGTGCGCAGTGACCAAAGAAGCTTAAGCTTTCGAGTTGGTCAGTAACTTAAGCTTTCGAGTATTTGTAAAGACTCAGAACTCCTATGTTTGAGCAACTGAATTTCGCGATTTCAAAATGGTTTCGGTTAAGTGGTAATTGAACTTCGTGACGAGCAATTCTGGTCTGAACAATACTTGTGATTTCAAATTAAACTTGCGCTGCGTGCTCGTTCATTTTGGAAATCACACAAGAGATTTCAGACCAAATCACACTCCATCCAGCTCGATTACTATTATGAATCTTACGTGAACTTAATGTAAGTTTTGTAATGATTTCAATTCTCGGCCTCTGCAGCCTTTTCCTTGGACTTTATTGGAAAATATGAGATGGTTTTGGATTTTTTTGGTTGAATTTGTCATTTCATTCATAAGTTCTTTTCCTTATTTCATTTGTTCATTCAGCCATGTGATATTCAATATATCGATTATTCATTAATACACCAAATTAGCTTTTTCGGCCCACAAATGCCTTGGCATCGGCCGGTCAAGTGCGCATCCAACACTCGCAGAACCTGGGTGTAATAAATTCTGTTGTGACGTGTCAGTTCACATAATTAAAATCAAGATGGCGGAGTTTGCTGTGAAATATTCGGTGCTCAGTCATCTTGTAGGCGCTGTAAACCGATAATTGAGTCGACTGCTTCATACATACGCTTATCACCAAACTAATAGCCCTAATGAGCCACTGTGGCAAAGTTTTTAGCGGAGATTTATTGAATTAACTGGACGACGTTCCCGGGAATATGCTAATGTAATTTTTGAGGAAAGTCCATAATGCAATAAAGAAGCAGGATTAACCCAGGAATGCATATATTAGGGCTGGAATGAATATTTAAGATCACTACGTGACCGGCCTACGCAAGGGCCTTTTCCCGCCCGTCCCTTCTTTGAAGGGAAAACCGCCCTGGGAACGAGGTTGTAGTGGATTGTACTTGGTTTGCAACTTTTGTAAATGGGTTTTAACCTTTTTATCGTACATCAGATCTTAAAAATGTCTGGCGAAGAGTTTGACTCTGCCATGGAGGACGTTAATGAAGTAATATCTGGAGACTCAGGAGGTAAGTGATAAGAGAAGCTTTAGCAATGAGTATGGAACATAAGCCATCTGTATTGCTAATTATACAACACTCATTTCTCTTATCGATTAAGTGCCGATTCTAAATGGCTGGGCTCACTTGAGCTCTACTAATGTTTCTTTCTGCTAAGTTTCTGGGCTGAATTATGACCGTTTAGCGCTATTCACTAAGTTATAACTAAATTTGGTTAAATTTGTCATAAGGACTAAGGCAGCTACGCGACATTAAAAAGGTTCAGTTGATAACCTCTATGGTGAGTTCTTATTATACAGAAACATCACTTATGGTTTGACTCAATGACCGTTTTTTTCTCGTTGAAGTCAGAAGAAAGATTTTTTTTGCCGTCTTTTATATTTTGAATGCCGCAATACAAATGCCATATTGTGGGGGACTAATTTGCTGGCAGTACATCAATAGCGTGAAAGGACAGCAGCAATGGAAGGGTGCTCCTCTGTGTTCTATTTTGTATTTATGTTGTCAAATTCCGTCTCTATCAAAGAGAAAAATTGACTTGCTAAGACGTCAGGGGCAGGCGTAGGCACGTTGAGACAAAAAGGCGATGGCTGTAGATGTTTTAATTTATTAAATTTTTCTTGTTTCTGTTTTGTTGTAGCTGTTAAGAAAGTGTGCCCGTCATCAGGATCAACACGGGTAATTAATTGATATTTATAATAACTGAGCGGAGTGCAATTTGATCTGAGATCATACGCGTGATTTCAAAATCGAAAATGATTGTGCAGCACGAGTTTGATTTCAAACCACAAGTAAGATTTCTGACCAAAATTGCACTCCACTCAGTTCAATCGCCACTTTATTACATCCATTTTGAAATCGCAAACTTCAGTCGCTCTGATATCACTCTGGCGCGGAAATGTCTGTGCATTAATTTAGCTTTCCTATTGGCAAATCATCAATCCATCGCAGATTTATGGTGTAAAGTTTACTTTGGTGAGGTTAATGTACATTCTCCTTAAACTTGTGAATTTTTACACCTACCTTCCTCAGCTGCCTTAAAAGTTTAAAATAACAACAAATCTAGTGGAAGGAAAGTCACTGGAAACTGATGATGCTTTTTGAAGAAAAAACAATTAAGTCGGAAGTGAGCCACAGTGTCAATTAAAAAGAAGTAATTTCCATTTTACGTCTCAGACTTCTCTATGCTCTTTAATCATTGTGAAACATTTACACACAAGTGGATTGTGTGTAATTTGTGTTTAATTTAACTTAACAATACTTTGGTTATATTTGGATAGGGGGGAGGTGAGTTTAGTATCATTTTAAACCAACAACTTCAAAACGAAGAAGAAGACTTCGTGGCCGACTTTGAAGATGTTCGAAATGTACTCCTAACAGTGGAAAACTGTTTCACCCTCACTGGGGTTACTCCAGGTTAGGAAAATTTTTCTTACTTTACGTTTTTATAAACAAGTTTAATTTTAATTTTTAATTCCCTTTTGTCTTATATTCGTTATGCACAAGCGCCTTGACTAGTGGACTAATTCGTCTTTTAAGTGCAGAGGAGCGAATGATTTCATAATCGAGTCATGATCTAGTTGCTTTTCCATTGTTCCTTCTCTGTTCTTTAATTGTCAAGTGGTCAGATCTTCGAGCAATCACGTATTTAAAGGTGTAAATAATCGATAACAAAGAACGAAGTACTAATCTACCTATTCTTACACCTTTTTTACTGCACTGAATCCAAGAAAATTACGACAAACGACCTTGTTTTGTGAATGGTGAACGCTCTGCCATTCATCGACTTGACAGAGTGGTGCGAAAGGCGAGTGACGCATCAGTAGCTAATTGGTGATATCGAACGCACCTAAAAGATAAACATGCGTAAGAAACATGTTTGAGTTTTGAGTGTGACGGATGAAATATCTGTGATTCTGGACTGAAAATGTGTTTTTGTAATACCAGCTTATCATAGGGAAGGCTGTGTCCTAGTTATGGTAAGATCTGCAAGTGGAACATGGCTTGGGAGCGCCACGTATACATATGTCAACCCTAATAAGAAAGAAGAATTACGAAAAGTTGTGGAGGATAAGAACAAATGGAAGGAGATTCTCGATACTATGTCCAACGGTCAAATAGGGAATCTTGACCAACAGGAAATCCCTTCTGGTATGTGCAATAAAAACGTTTATATTATTAGTCAAAAACTCTAAAAATGTCAAATGTGGTTATTTATTATATAGCTGGTAGCACCCGTGGGCAATATGAAGCTTATCCTGTGTTCTGATTGGCTACCCGATAGGGCGAGATGGACCCGTCTTGTGCTCTCGGGATTACCCGCTTTGATATCGCGCAAGACAAAATTTGCGTAGAGCAGACTTAAAAAGTTCATAATTTTTTGACAATTTCGGCGATAGAGTCGCAAAAAGTGGCAGAGGACAATCAAAATAGAAAAAATATGAACAATTTTCATGAGTTTATTATGCTAAAAAAACCGGAAAGTGCAAAAATTAAAGAACAAAGTGATATGAAAGCATAGAAGCGGTTTTGTGTAACGGAAAACGCAACAAGAGAAGTTGGTGTCATACCTGACAAATTTTGAGGGCCAGCGGTCCATCCACTTAGTAGGGTTCAGTCCCCTTGCGTCAATATATATTTAAGTTTTCGCGCGAATGTTTCTTTAATGTTTCGTAGTTTGGCGTTGTATGTTTGTAAGCTGCGTCCCGTGTCCCTTTTAAGATCCAAACCATTAGGTATCTTTTAAGCTTTCATTTCGCCGGGTTTATTTCGTTAGTCCTCCTGTATTGTTGGCAATTAGATTCAGTGTAATGTAATTTTGTTATAGAAACCACCGGTCCAGACTAAAATGTATGGTTCTGGTAGCCATTGAGAAATGCTACTGGTGCATACGTTACACTTATCAAATCCTTTTTGTTTTTTTCAATACGTCAAATGATAAACGAGCTCGAACCATCACAGTTGGCTTCCTTTCCCGGCGCTCAAAAGGATTCTCATTAAAGTGAAACCTTTTTCCTATATAATGAATGCTTTATTGACCAAGCTTGTTCGGCCAAGAGGGCAGGATATTAGCTTCGTTCTTCTTTTTGCGTTTTTATGGACCTCGACTTCGTCTCGGTTCATACAAATGCAAAATGAAAATGAACTCGGCTTATATTCAGCCATCTCGACCTCGCGTCTAGCCAATAACGCATATACATTGCTACCAGTATCTACGATATTTGTATAACCATCGTAACGCACAATGTGCCGAAAAAAGCAGGGAAAATGTTGAGAATATGCTTTAGACATAACTTTCTTGTTTTCTCAATGATATAGGCATCACCTAGCCCATACGGAATATCGTACTCGGACCTCATTAGTCTCTATCTTCAATATACATCTTTAGCCATTTCTTTTTTCAAGCGTGTTTTTAGAATGAATTTGATGATAGTGATGATGATGCTGCACCGACACTGAAATAATTTGTAATATGATATAAATATTCTTTAATATGCCTCAATTTTGTTCTCCTACTTTAGGAGCAGTGGTCCATGGTAAGACTCGCGATTCCTGGTCTATTAAACTACTAACATTGCTCATCTACCAGGCTGCTGAAGTAGATGGCTTTGATTTCCTTGAAGTTGTCTTCAGCACCTCAGCTGGAAGAGTAACTTTTAATAATTACAAAGACAATGCTATACGACCTGAAGATGTCGCCAGGGCTTATGGACATGCAATTTTAGGTGATTTCCTAGAGAATGTGAATAAAAGGTAACGTTATATTACATTTCTTTGGTAGGTAAAGACAAGTTAGGTTTTCCATCTGAAATATAAGTGAAATATTATGTACAGGTAAAGGAGGGGGAACTTCTAGATGGTGTTGTGGAAGAAACTTGAATTCCGTATTTAATCGAATAAGCACCGCTTCCGAATAAGCACCGCGGACCCGGTGCGGCGCTCATTTGAAGAATTCTTTTACGAGCTCTAATACTGTATACGTATTTGTGTTGGATACCTTGGGGGAACCAGATGACAATCGTTTCGAATGCATAGATTCAAACGTAGAAAGGGGGGTACCCTCATGCTGAGGCACGAAGACTCTAATCAATATTAATAAAGAAATTTAAAAAAGCCGGTAGAGATAAATGATAACCTAAAACGCCTCTATTGGTTACTATAAGATTTTCGTTCAAATTGAAAATATATCGTTAAATTAAAAGAGAACATTTCTTCGTCGCGTTCCATTTTTAAATGAGCGTCGCACTTGAGGCCTGAACAATTACATAAGCATCGCGGTGATTATTATTAGAGTATATACGGTATCCTCGTATCCTTTGCTATTAACTCCAGAACTAGGGATATGGACTAATGGTTGTGTTGTCCTGTTCTTGCGCGAAACTGTTGATTGTTTAAGGAGCCTCTCGCAACTCAGGCATAAGAAATTGAATAGGCACCAGTAGTAGGAAATATGCCGGTTCTGGCTCACTTTTGTCACATTAACGAGAATCTAAGTTAGATTAGTTAGATCTTAGTATTTTTCAAGATCTAACTCAAGACATTCACGTCAAATTATTGTGCATATACAATAATTTGGTACTTTCCGGCGGCTCGGCCCAACGCATTCACGTCAAATTATTGTGCATATAGTATAATTTTGGCACTTTGGGAAAAAAAGGCATATTTTATTTAAACACTAGAGCAACTTTATAAAACCAAACCGATAATGTATTATACAATTGCTCAACTGCGAAAGATTGCGCAAGACGCAAATATGAAGATCATATATGAATTGAACAAGAATGACCTGTTTAAAAAGATGCGAGAGAAAAACCTTGTCGAAGGAGATATTAAAAGTTACTCATTGTATCAGTTAAAAGCGATTGCAAAAGATAATAACATATCGACTGTTAAACTAAAAGAGGAACTCTACAACGATCTCAGAAAGCGAGGTCTTGTTGAAGATGAACTAATGGCTCCAAAAATAACGATATACAACATTGAAGATTGTGCACTTACAAAGGATCAACTGATCTCAATTGCAATGAGTTATAAAAACCCACCGATTGTTGGAATGTATAAGATGAAAAAGAAAGAGTTATATGATTTGCTAAAAAAGCGTGGTTGGGATGCTGAATCTGCCAAAGATCATTTATTTATTTTAGATAAGAAGGTCAGAGCTGTAATTGTAACAGAGCTGTTAACAGGTCAAACACATCGTTATCCTTCGATATATTTGGCAAGTAGAGACCTTGGAATCAGCACTGACAATATATCTTTAAACAACGGCAAAGATTGGTGCGACTGGCATTTTGAAATAGAACCGCAGTTTTGAATAATGATGGTTCTTATCCACACTTATCAACAAGTGTGGATATGTTACGTGACCACAAAAGGTGTCTAGGTTTTATGCAAATTTCTATTCAAACCCCCCTCTCCAGCGGGAGAAACTAATCCCATAAAAATATTCAAACCCCCCTCTCCAGCGGGAGAAACTAATCCCATAAAAATATTCAAACCCCCCTCTCCAGCGGGAGAAACTAATCCCATAAAAATATTCAAACCCCCCTCTCCAGCGGGAGAAACTAATCCCATAAAAATATTCAAACCCCCCTCTCCAGCGGGAGAAACTAATCCCATAAAAATATTCAAACCCCCCTCTCCAGCGGGAGAAACTAATCCCATAAAAATATTCAAACCCCCCTCTCCAGCGGGAGAAACTAATCCCATAAAAATATTCAAACCCCCCTCTCCAGCGGGAGAAACTAATCCCATAAAAATATTCAAACCCCCCTCTCCAGCGGGAGAAACTAATCCCATAAAAATATTCAAACCCCCCTCTCCAGCGGGAGAAACTAATCCCATAAAAATATTCAAACCCCCCTCTCCAGCGGGAGAAACTAATCCCATAAAAATATTCAAACCCCCCTCTCCAGCGGGAGAAAC